TTTGCTCACAGCCTGGTGGTGAAACTGTGAGTCAGAGTGAATGGTTTAGGCAGGTAATCTGGCATATCCACAGATCTTTTCTACTGTGTAGAACCAGCACTGACAAAATCCTTTTCAAAATATATGTGAGAAGACAAACAACAGTTTAGCATCAGTGCTCTGAATTTACAGGTAGCCTTAACTGTATGCTTCACAATGTGGATCTTAAATACATGTATAAATAAGAAATGTGCATGCTGAAAATAGTTGTGCCTTGGAAAAATGGATTTCAGGTACCTGTTTGTGTCTCTATTGCGATTCTTACAAATGTCTTTTGACCATAAGTGTCTGCCCCTTAAATTTTCCCACCTTACAGCCTATCAGTAGAGTCCCTGCTCTGCAGGGTGCAGGTTTAGATACAAGACAAGTAAATAAATCTATTCAAACACATCAATTTATCTGATTTCTCTGAGACAAAGGCAGGTGGTAAATTAGATTTTCTCCCTTTCATTGTGGAAAGGTGCAGGTGAAGAGGGGTGGTGAAATGGCTGAAGGTGAGCTTGGGCTGAAGAAACTGTAGAGCAAATGTCAGAGGAGAAGGTCTTTGGCAGAGAGGTTGAGACAGGTGTAAAGTCCTGTAACGGTGGAAAAAGTGAAGATCCTCAAATTTTAGAAAGGAAAAAAATAGGAAAAGAAAGCCAACATAGACCACTTTCTTAAAATGGCTTCTTCTCATTGTGGAGTGGCTGGATAAAAGTATCCTGGCCCTGACAGAGCTGATGCACCCACCATGTCCAAGAGACCCCCTCCTTCAATCCCTTGTCAAGCTGATAGACTGACTGTGCTCCAAAAGCTAGATTTCCCTGGCTAGGCATGGTCCCCAGTCACCACCACTGGCTTCCTTTGCTGCTTCTGAGCCCTGTCTGCTTCTGAAGTGGGGGTGAAACAGTGTCCTGAGGCCCTGAGAAGCTGAATGTGCACTTTATTTCTTTATCTCTACTCCTAGACACTTTCTGAGGATGCCATGCAGATAGGTTTGCATTTGTAAGGCAAAGGGAGCAAAATATGTATTTGGTTGTTAGTGGTGCCATCTCTACTCAAAGTTAAAAAATTATTTCCTTGGATATAACAGGACAGCTACAAAAGAATCTTACCTATTCCATTTCAATACTTGGATGACAGAAATATCTGGGGGTATGTTTTATTGGAGGCTCTTGTCAGAATGCTCAAGGGACATTGTGGTTAAAGGTGACCTTTTCTGAAGGAGGAACAAAAATGTGGACAAAACAAGGACAGGTGAAGTTGTACTTCAGACCTCTCTTGAACTTCACACTTGCCAAGGAAGTCAGAAAAAGTTAGAATTTTTTTTCTGGTTACTACAGACACTTTCAGAGCCTGTGGCTACTGTTAGAAATCCATTTTTCTCCATCTATCATAGTTACATTTCACAGAGTAGTTCAGTGAGTGGGAAGGTTAAATAAACAGAGATACCACATCCAAACACATTTTTACTATTATAATTCTCTGTTTAATGCAATGCTTTAACTAGGAATACAACTCAGCAGAAGTACATACACATATATTGCACGTAATTTTAGTTGTCTCTTCAAAATGTTTCAAACCCTCATCATCTTATTCCTTCATGGCTTGTTTTGATGAAATACCTTCTTTCTTCATCTTGTATAACAAATTAGAATGCTGCTGAATAACACAGACATTTTTCCTCCAAATGGAACACAACATTACATCCAAATTCCCAGTTAATATAACTTTATCAAACATTGCTTTCACTGTATGAATGTTGTGTATAATATATCTATACAGCATATATAAATATATATCTATAATGTATATATAATCAAGTGGGTCAGCTTTATACAGCTAACCATAAACTTGTGCTTATCTTATTTATATGAGATCAAATTTATGGCATCAAGAATTTGACCAATCCTCTACTTGTAAGATTCTCGGTTCCTGGTTTTACCACATGATTTTGGATATCACATACAAGTAATGCATTCCCTTCTTTCTTGCAGTAGTATTTTATTTTGAAGAAAAGAATGCAGGTTTTTTTTAAATATATATATATAAATGAATAACAAGTTTTTCGTATTGTTAAGTTAAAAAAGATCTCAAGAAGAGATGAGGTTCTCCCTCGTACATAGAGCTTGAAGCGTAATTTGACATTCATTGTAGATATATTTACATTATAAGCTTATCTGGGTAGTGTTACACATAATGTATTATTTTTTACACAGTCAAGATATGGTGTTGGTCATGTTGAAACACACTATCTAAAGGTATTTACAAATTGCTAGTCTCTAACTTATCAACCAGCTCAGCTAAGTGGCACCAGAAATAAGGTACAGGATAGAAGAATGTCTGTTGATTGGCAGTCATGGTGCTCCCAGCAGTGTTTTTATCATTTTTACTGCCACTGCTACCATGATGTGCTTCAGGGAAGGGCTGTCTTTGGAGCAGAGGTGGAGAGACAGAGTCTCCAGTGGGGGCAGAAATCCCTACCTCTTCCCTGAAGACTACATGGGGGAAGCAGAAAAACAATCCAAAAGTGACTTGTTTGTCCCTTCACAAGTAAGAACACACCAACCTTGTCCCCCTGTGTTTTCTCCAGTGCTGTCAGGTGAGTCAGTCTGGATATTAAACACTCAGTGAAATCCTTCCGAGGGCATTGTAACACGGGCTGGGATCACACTGCCTCATGTACCACACAGACCTGCTTCTGCCAGAGTCAGAGTACTTTGGGACATGTCTCAGAAAATGGTTTCTGTGTGCTTCTTGGCAAGTATGATCCAAAAAAAACCCAAACCCCCCCCCCAAAAAAAAACCCCAAAAAAAAAAAAAATCCAAAAGAAAGAAAAAAAAAAAAAAAGAAGAAAAAAAACTCACAGTGGAAAGATGAAAAAGACAACTTACTGAATGGCACTTTGGAAGGCAAAAAGACACCAGAATTTATTTTCTTTTATTTGGTTATTACTGGAATGAAATGCGTTTAACAAATCTACCCAGTACCCTGGAATATGAGGCCTGGGAGGGTTAATATGCTCATGTAACCCACTAACTCCACTATGTAGCAAAAGAGGCCCCTGCAAAAGGACGGAAGGAAAAATACAGGAGAAATAATTGTGTTGCGGTAAATGATTCATGTTCAGCTCAGCCTTGCCGTAATTACATTCTTAGGTTTGGACTCTCAGTGGATACTCTGCTAGTAAGCTCATGAATGAAAGGGGATTCGAGGGAAGGCAGGGCTGTCTTTCTGTTGCACAGAGCAGAAAATGAATTTGTGCATGTGGCAGCACAATATTCCTCTACAAGCACATTCACTCTTTAACATCATCCACCATTTGTGCCTAACACAAAGATAACAAAACTGGGCAACAGAAGAACTGAATCGGCTTTGTTTCATCTGAGGGTTTGTTTTACTTCCAATTTAAAAGCCATGCAGAATGGATTTATGGAACTTGCCACTCCACACAGTGGCTTGGGCTCCAGTGGAGGAGGATGTTGCATGCTAGGGAAGGCAGGTTTTGTGGGGGGTTAGAGAGGTTGAATGCCAGCATTCACAGTGCCTGAAAGGCAAGTGGAACTGCAAGTCTGTAGCTGTAACATGGGTGACACTTGTTGAAGTGAGGAAGGAGGAAAGCTTTTCAGTAAAACTGGGGCAAAAGAGGTAAAACAGGCAGAGAAGAGAGGCCACAGCAAATTAAAGACCATCTTTGAGGTTCCTTCAAGGCAAGATTTTCTATACATTTTAAAAAAGAAATATTCCTTAAAAGTCTAGAGCATTTCATGACATACGAGAACTGAAAAAGCAATATTGTATAGAAATCATACCCTTGTAAGTGTCTGTAGTGAAAGAAAAGCTAATTTTAATTCTCTCAATTTCTACCACTGTCATCATCTGGGACTATTAAACTCCAAACTCACTGTCAGCAAACACCTCCCATGCACAGGGCCAGAGTTTGTTCTCCTGCCCTTTCTTTTGTCAAACTTTAGATTCTCACTCCTAGAAACACCACAATTTGCCAAAATAATGGAGATTTTTTATGAAGTATTCTAAGGGGAGGGAGAAAAAAACATCAGCATCACTCTTCTCCACTCCCTCCCCTGCCCCCAAGCTGCATTCATGTCAGGTTTGCAGCAGGATGGCTGTCAGGATGCTTTACCTATTCAGTCCTGCTAGGCCTCTGCCATGATTAATTTTGGGGCACAGAGGTGGCAAGGAAAGACAGTCAGCAGAGGTGAAAAATTCAGTGTGCCACCCCAGCACCACAGGAGAAGCTGGAGCTGTGTCATCTGTTAGGAATGTCACATTCATAAGAATGAAGAACAGAGATCAAAATCAGTCAAAACTGGGGAAGGGAACAATGAGTTTGCTAGCAAGTCCCACAGACAGATGGACACATTCAAATCCATAAGGAGACAAAATAACAAAAAAAGTCTCTGCCCTCCTGCTCCTATCCCTGGATGGCCAGGAGGTGCTGGGCCACTTCAAGGGTTTCTTCAGCGGTGTGTGGGCTGTTCTCACCACAGCCACACTTCTTGAATGCACCTCTTCTTGTCAGTATGTTTTCCTCCACCAGAAGAGTATAAAACAGAGGGCTGATAGATTCAGCATTTGCTTTTGTCCTCTTCATGCTTTGTGAATGCCAAACAACTGATCTCTGGGGTCCACTTGAGCACTCCCATCCCTGTGAGCTTTTGTACAGCAAAAAAACAATGAAAGAAAGAAAAAGCAATCTGACCTATATAGATGTGTTTGCTGTCTTTGGACTGTATTTCATCAGGCAACATTCAAATACTTTGCTATCTTTGAATAGATCAAATGACTCCTAATAAATCAAATGAAAATCTCAAACAGAAAGAAGGCTGACAAGTTTTTCTTAGATTTTGTTCTCACTGGAAAACAGATTTTAAGTATTGCTTCAGCTTTCTTCCTTTCTTTCTTTCTTTACTTCCTTTTTTCCTTTTTCCTTTTTTCCTTTTTCCTTTTTTCCTTTTCCTTCTTTTCCTTTTCTGTTTCCTTTTCCTTTCTTTTTCTTTCTTCCTTTCTTCCTTTCTCTTTGACCACAGACATTTTTAATACTCAGAAAAGTTGACCCTGGACTGATGCATCTCCAAGTTGCTGTTCTCTTCCTGGAGCGGGAAGGTAGGACTGTCCCACAACAGCACAAATCACTCCCTGTGGGCTGCCTCTTTCTGGAAATAATGAAAGAGGAAGAAAAGGAGGCGGCAAGAAGTTCCAGCTGCAATTTTTTGTTGTTGGTTATAGCTTTTGGGATATTTTTTCTTTTTTGTTCTCATGAGTTACCTGCACAGTGTGCTTGATTTCTGTGTGAAACAGAAGTGGCCAGAGCAGCAGATGGTGTGGACGTGCTGCTGGGATCCCCTGGCCAAGCCCAAGGTGAAGATGCGGCAGCTCCAGCAGCAGGGCCACCTGGGGCCTTGGGGACCACAGGGTGCAGGTGACAGCCAGGGAAGCCGAAGTTACCCAGGGAGAGCTGCTCTTCAAGACTGACATCTAGATCCTGCAGAACTATCACTCAGAAGGGAAGTGAAACCTGGTGAACGTAGTTTGGGACACAAAGGAAAGACATGAATGCTCAAAGGATATTCAAGAACCAATTACTTTGCAGTTCTGACCCATTATCACATTTTTGTCTTACTGAGCCACAACCAGCTGAAAACCCAAGAGGTTCCCAATATCTGAGGGCACATTCTGCCTCTTCTCTGCCTTCAGGAGGGGCTAAACACTTCAATAAGAGTTGGTTCTGTACCTCCCAGCAGCTGGCAATGCACACAAAGCAGACAAAATGTCATGCAATATCTTGAATATTAGCTGGCTGTTTTTCACATATATAAACCATGTAGGGTTGTGTGTTTGCATGCCTGTGGATGCATACGTAGGTGCACTATGTCATCCATTTTTACACTGTTTAATAGTCTGCAAATGTAAATGTACCATGGAACTGTTATGGGGTGGAAGCACAGAGGACTGTGTGTCCTGCAAGCCTTTTAGGTATACTGTAACACAAATCAAAGCACCTTGTCTCTTAAGATCAAAAGTGAGGATGGTGCTAGGGGAAAAGCACTAGAAAACTTCAAACTCATAATTTTCCTTTGCTTGTTTTTTTGTTTTTTGTTTTTTGGGTTTTTTTTTACAAGTGCTGGCACCAAAGTACTTTCCTTCCTGTGGTATTTTGAGTGTCATCATATCACATGATGAAGTATAAGTGCAATCTGCCTGTCCACTTTTTAGCCTGAAGGAGCATCCTTAGCTGTTAGATTAATTCATTATGGGCAAGTGATAGCTTCAAATGTGTGAATAAAATATTTGCACATCTGATAGAAAGCCAGAGTTAAAAGATTAAGTATGGCTGTACAAATCATCATTTCCCAGTTTGAGTACCTGTACTATTGATACCCACAGCACTTGCTGAAAGAAAGAAACAGGTGCGTTACTTTTATGCAACTTTTCTAAAGAAGTCAGATTTAGAAATCGAACGTATTTGATTTTATTTTATCTTGGGATTTTATCTGGATTTTTTTACCACAAAAATGAATGAACAACCCAGGAATGCATAAGTCCTTCTTTGACCTGTCAAGATAAACCTAGAGAATGAAGTTTTAAAATGCAAGCAGTGCTCAGTTTGGCAAGCTTTGTCATTGACTTATTCTTCCTTACAAGTAGGAAGATCAAAACAGTGATAGTGGATATAACTCAAGGCAAGTGAGAGTTGCAGAATTAGATCCTTGGCTATATAGAGACAGTTATATTAGGATTAAATCACTAGGGTATAAATTCAATGACTTCATATTAAGACACATTAATCCGGAGTTTTAACGTGGCCTTAATTTTCTGCAGTTTAATCCTCCTCATTTTCACTTTCTGCTGGGAACTGGTACTACAAAACACGAAAATTGTCATGATACCAAAGTGCTTTGACACTGTGTTCCAATAAGCTTGTCAAATGTAAAACTTAATTCTGCAAGATTAATTTCTCTGTAATCTCAGAGGCTGCTATTTTGAGGTGAATTTTGCAATACTCTAAAACTGTAGCATGAAATAACAGAACGAATTTGTGTCCTGTTTGGTGGGTGGCTTTCACTCCAGAAAAGAGACCCTTAGGACACTGTGTATGCTCTTTTTGGTAACAAAATATATAAATGTACCTTTGTCAGTGCTGGAAGTTAGAGGTACTAAGAAGAAGGTAAATAAAATATGCGTAACTCATAGAAAATCTCTGTTTTCAGTAATCTGATACACTTTGACCTGTCCACAAAATGTTTAGTTTTACTACAGTAAATATCAAATATTGGAATACTAAATACTTTGTCAGGCAGAAATAATCAAAATTTCATGTGTATTTGCTACTCTAGTGTAGAGTAGCAAAAAAATATTTGAATTTAATCCATGCCAGACTCCCATCCAGATTATTTCTGTACCTGGTTTTCTGTAATCACAATTTTCCTCTCTGCCATTTTATTAGTGTTACCCCTTGACTTACAGTCAAAATATGGCTCTCAGGTAGTACAAGGCAATGTGACCAGTATCTTTTCCAGCAAGCAAACATCTTGTCCAGGATTCACCCAGAAAGAACCCCAGTTTCACACTAAGGGCTTAGCAGAGCTCGATCCAGATGGGTATGTCAGTCTATCTTATTCTTTTCCTCAATCAATTAATCAAAAATCATCTTTTGATGGGTCAAGAGCATGGTTCATCTAATATTAACTATTCATTCTGTGAAACCTCAGCATACCTCTTCATCTGTACATCCAACTTTAAATGGATGTAGCCTTTCATTTTCCTAGTAATAATCTTGTTTCTATTCTTCAGCTGAGACCCTTTGTTTGGCCACCATAGTGGCAGACTGGATGAGACCTTTTAATTTACAGCTTCTTTTGGTATTCCGTCTTGCCCTGGACAAGTAAGGTACACAAAGGAAGAAAAGGCTGATGGAAGTAATAGACAAATCCACAGGTCGATGTTACATGATGAACAAAGTGACCAAAATCATCTCAAAAGCTTTGGTTTACACAGATGCTGAAGAAGTCTTGGCATGTAGCAATCTGGGTGAGACCATGTCTTTTCACTTTGATCTTGTCATGATGAAGCAGTCACAGAACAAAAACCCCTGGGAGGGGGCAAGCAGCAGACTTGGAACGATATACAATGATTACATGTTGCGCATAAGTACACTTTCAGAACTGATGTGGTTTTGGAAATGGTGGGGTCATAAACAACATAAAAAACTTCCATCATGATTTACCTAACATTGAGCATCTTACATGACAGTGGTAAAACAGTTTTAGACAATTTTGAGCTTTAGAAAATTTCTGCTATGGTTGATTTGGATTATACAATGATCATCCAAATTCCTATGCCTCTTCCACACAGTTATTATTAAAATTTGGGTTTTTTTACCTAGATGAAGATGTAATAAACACACACAGGAAAAAACAAGAGAAAAGAGAATGAAAGAACAAGTTTTTTACACAAAATGACCAAAAATCAGACTTTGAAGCCCTTCTGCAGAATACTCTCAGAAAGTAAGGAACTGTGCCTCCAGTCCACATACTTGATTAATTTCTCAAACATCCCTGTGTCCTAAAGATTTATTTTCATTTATTAAAAAAATGTTTTAAAGTGTAGTCCTCAGGGGTACAGCTGATGCCCCTTATCAGTATTTCCACCAACATCCTGGATTGCACATTCCACAGAAGAGCATAAAGTGCTATAGCGTTGAGGGTTTTTTAAATTTAATTTGGAACTTCTTCACCCTTTCTATAATTATTTTTATTATTATTTTTACCTTGTAGCTCCTATATTCTTGTAATGACACATAAGAAGGTGCTTAAAGGTCTTCTTGAAAGTGGCATTGCAGAGCGCGTAGCAGGCGGGGTTGATGGTGCTGTTGATGTAACAGAGCCAGTATCCTATGGTCCATACGGTGTTAGGGATGCAGGATGTGCAGAAGCTGTTGATGAGCACCATCACATTGTATGGGGTCCAGGTGATGATGAAGGCCAGGAGGATGGCCAAAATCGTCCTTGTCACTTTTTTCTCTCTAGAAGGGGGCGGTTTCTTTTTGGCTGGCTGCTTTGTCATCTTGACAATTTTCCGGGCTACGCTGTTTTGCTTCTCCTCCCCGTTCGTGCCTACGATCTCCACAGTAGTGTTGGTAGGGGCACAGCAGTCCCCCTTTTGGGACTTGGTGACTATCCTGATGCATGTCAGCTTGGAGTTCTCTGCTTTGACATGGGCTTGGGAGGCAGAAGCCTGTCTGGTATCTTTGGTAGCTTCATCCTCTTTCAAGTTGGAAGCGACCACACTGATGGAGGTGGAGTCGTTGGAGCTCTCCTTCTCCCCTTGAACAGAGTTATTGGTTACAGTCTCTTCGCTGGTTTTCCCATTCTGAATTTTGCTGTGCTCCAACCCATCTCCGCTGGTCGGGATATTGTTATTGTTTGGTTTCACTATTTTACCTTGGACAAGGCTGGGGGAAACTGTTTCTTGGTTTTGGGCAGCTTCCTTCTTTCCTTTCTTTATCCGACTCTTACTGGCCCGAGAGATTTGCCAGTAAAGGACAGTCATGATGATAACAGGCAAATAGAAGGCTGCAATGGCAGTGCCAAAAGTGACAGCAGGGTTGGAAAAAAACTGGATGTAGCAATCCCCATCTGGAACAGTCCTTCCTCCCACAATGAATTGCCAGAAGAGAATTGCAGGGGCCCAGAGGATGAAGGACAGCACCCAGGCGGCTGCGATCATCATGCCGGCCATCTTGGTGGTCCGCTTTACGGGATACGTCAGAGGCTTGGTGACACAAAAGTACCTGTCAAAGCTGATAATGAGCAGGTTCATTACAGAGGCGTTGCTGACCACGTAGTCAAGAGCCAGCCAGAGGTCACACACCACAGGCCCCAAGGGCCAGTAGCCTATCACAGTGTAGAGGGTGTACAGGTTCATGGAAAAGATGCCGATGATCAAGTCAGCACAGGCCAGGCTGAACAGGAAATAATTGTTGACAGTCTGGAGGTGCCTGTTGACTTTGATTGACACCATGACCAGGATGTTCCCAATTATGGTGACCAGGCTGAGAGACCCTGCCACCAGGACGATGAACACCACCTCAACAGTTTTGTAGGGGCTCTCCAAGGCCATCACATTTTCAGTGGAAGAGTTTATGTACGTTGAGTTATTCATTTCGCTTCTGATAACAAGATACCCAGTTACACCTGCAGAGGAAAGAAAAGAAAACAGATACCATCAGGAAGTTAGCCCCTTTGCCTTTAAGAAATGGATCCAAATAAACTGACTTGGCAAAAGTTTAAAGCTGGAAGATGCATTCAGGAAAAACCCGTTGGCTTTGGCTAAAGGAAACACCTTACAGTGTTTAGTACAGTACAGTTTAGGAATAACAGAATTATTCTAATAAATTCTAGTTCTAAGTATCTGAGAAAGGCACACATTTGGACCCAAAACTACATTTTTAAGTTCTCGGATGCATTTCTCTCTTTGTTATTTTTAAAAACTAATATTGACTTGAATATTTTGGAACTGAACCAGCGTATTGTTTTCTTTCTTGCTAACTAAATAGTTCACTTGGCTCATTTCAAATCCTATTCCAAATAAGAAGTCCAGAATGGAGGGTGTAACGTTCTTATAACCCAAAGTGAAGCTGTAATCTACTGAGAGACAGATCATGGAGAGGAGATCTCTGTTTCTGTCTTTCTTCCATTTTCCACCTGGGCTAGCCTCTGTGAGGTTTATGGAATGGGTTTTTATCATATCTCCCAAAAATTTTATCACCCTGCAGTTCCTTTTTTAGGCGATACATACAAAGATTTTGGCACTGCACCAAACTATTTAGTCTGTCAATGAACAAAAGAGGGTGGTTCTGTTGAAGTTAGTAAGCTCACCTCAGCTGAGCATTTGTCTATCTATTTAGTTGCATACATATTTTGTCTCCATTTTTTTTCAATTTCTGTAAGATTAAAGTTGTTTTTTACTTACTTTTGAGTATTTATACTTGCATAAGGCATTGTTTTTCTTTCGGGATTTTTTCTAAACATAATATTTATCTTTTGATGCTTGCTTGATTGCACTTTTCCCATTATTTTTCAAATCACAATATTTTTAATCTGTATCACATTAAACTACAACAAAAGCTCTGAAATGGATAGCAGGGTATTGCTAAATAAAGAAACAGATAAAAATCAGTTCTGTTTACACATAACAATTCTTTTTGTGCCCCGTATACCCTACTGGCAGTGCTCAATAAATACTAATTAAATTGCTAGTGATACACTTTTGATAGAAGACTAAGAAAACAGTGCATGCTTTTGCCTTCAGGATATATTCTATCCTTTTATGCATCCCCTGGAAGTCAATAAAATGCACTGGAATTGTGCAGCCCATCTCTGAGCGCTCATTACTTATGAGCTGCGCTCAAGGGACTATTGAAGCGTGAAGGCCAGATGTGACAGGGAAGTTAGGGTTTTTTTCTAATTACACTATTCTGCTTATTTTTTCAACCACACATAAGTCATCACTTCTTTAAGAGTCTCTAAACACGGTGGTGCAATCAAAGGAAGACAAAAATTATCTATGTATAACTCCTCTATACACCAGGGATTAGAGAATTCTCCTCTGGTCCCTCTGACTAACCTGCTGATGCACAGACACATGCAGTCCACGTCATTTCAAAGGAGAAATATGTTTCTACTGTCATTTCAGAACTGTGCTTTTTTTATTCCCCACCCCCCCCCCTTTCCTTTTTTTCCGGATGCAAAAGAAAGAAGATGATACAAAATGTCACGGCAGCGGCAAAACCCCTTCTGACCCTTCTAAAAAAATAAGCAAGTCTGTCTCCATGGAAAAGTCAAAATGCTAAACCAGGGTAAAATGTTTCCTGTCTGAGGCAACTTTGTCATCTTGCAATTCATACTGAAAGAAATACAACTGGCAGAGGGTGGGGCTCCTGCACTTGCCTTTCCTGTGAAAAACAGCTAAAATTTGTTTGCCAATTCCATGTTGAAGTGAATACATGAATAAATAGAGGAACATAAGGCTCAAACAGACATTTTTTTCTTGCTATCTATTTAGAGGTACATCACTAAAATCTTTGGGATCAGGTTCAAGATAAGAAAATAAGGAAGAGGAACGCTTTAGTTCAGTGTGTGCTTCATAGAGTAAGACTAGGCTGAATGTAGCAGAATTTTTACTCGTTGCGAAAACATTGACAGGACACCTGTCATTGATAGGACTGTCATTTCAGCAATTCCCAGTCTATTTTTCTCCCAAAGCTTCACTGTTGAGCAGGTGGTTATCCAGTTAGACGTGTAAGACATCAATTTTTTGGACAAGCTAAGGATTTCTCCCAAGCAGAGTTGTTTATGAATATTCTTAACAGAATGTATTTTTAATGGAGAGATAAAATCATGCATAGAGCTGTATTGATTAAAAAAAATAAAAATAATCAGCTGAAGAAGGTTCATGGTCCAGGGCTCTGCAGCTACCTCTGGAGACAGAAAGTGAGTGGGGGAGCAAAATGGAAATGAGTGAGAGTGCATCAGAGATGAAACAATTGTGCTTCATTATAAGGAAATGTGTTTCTTTACAATATATTTTTGAAAAACTGTTCAGCAGCTCTGTTTTGATTCCACTGAAGAACAAAATTAATTTTAAAAGCTTGAAACTTGTAAAACCAAATTACCATCTCCCAACTAAATTTATTCCTCAGTCTTTTCAGGTGAAATTTTTACCCACTTTCACTGGAAATATTGGTAATTCAGTAACAATTCTGATTTTATGGGAATCTTTGGGATGCAAAGAGATGGATGAAAGCTAAAAGTTAATCTTACTTGCTAGGAATAGGATTTCATTGTGTTAATATGAATGGGAGCAAAGCAAAGGAGTCCCCAGTGGTCTCTTTTTGCACAAAACTTTCCAGCCCTGAAGAGGGTTGGTAGCTCTGGAGTTACAGGGAGTTGCATCTTTCTGAGGTATGGGGAAACAGCTGCTGTCTCCAGCTCCGGTAAAAACTTCCCTTTGGCAGCATCAGTGTGCTTGTAAGGTGAAGCATGTTTTGCTGTGGATGTTGATGGGAGGGTGTAGGGCTGGAGAGACACATCTGCCTTCCCCTGACAAATGCTGTCACTGCCCTGAGTACTAAAATTCCACACGCAGGGGCAGGGGTGTGCACGCTTCCTAACCCAAGAGCCCCCACAATCTTCTGGGCTCCTTCCTGTTGGCTTGGAACCAGGTGCACAGAGAGGGTTCTGTTTCTCCTCCTGGCCGCTTGCTGCCTCGCTACAGGACTGCCTGTGGATTACTTTTGCTTTTGTCTTGCCACAGAGCCCATCTCTCCTGCTGGAGAGGCAGATGTTATGGGAGCAGATGTTATTCATCAGGCAGACCTACGGGGCAGAGGCGTTTTAAGGTAATATGACCTCCTGTGTGAGAAATACCAGATCTTATTCTTGAACAAACAGAGCTCTCCTTTGCAATCCCACGGCTGTTTGTATGAGCTGCACAATATGGCACTGGCTCCCATGGGCTACCATAATTTATCCTTCTATACTAAGTGCATTCTTGCTAAACAGAGAATACCCAGAAAAGGCAAGGAATGTCTCTCGTGACCTGAAAAACAACCAAGATAATTTTATGAAATATATTTCAAAATATATATGACTTTTTGGAGTGGATACACCATAATCACTGCACGGAAAATGTCCAAAAGCCAAGAAATCCACATATAAAATAATTATTGTTTGATATTTGATATGTATTTGGGAAATGTTCACAGTGCAGTAGTTCCTCCCTCTAAAGAACTCAAAGTACTCATAGTACTGAAAATCATTCCCTTCTATTGACTGGGCAACTGGGGCATACTTAAAGCATTGCATCCTGCTGAGTTGTGCTTTCCACTTATCCTGGCAGGAACACATCCATTTGGTGCAGGCAAATCTTGTAGCAAACATTTTAATTTTAAATTTAAAATATATCTCCAACATCTGTCACAAAACAGACTACAGAAATGTTGGTATGTTGAAAAAAATGGCTGATACATCACGCCTGTCAAAGTTTGTTAGACAAGCCATTCTTCTGTATTGTGCATATTGACAAGTTAAATTTGGTAAGGATTTAATGTCTTCTTTGAATTCTCTGCAACCATATAAAGGTCAAGACATGAAAGAGGCAAAAAATGATCAGCACCTGAAAGTTATATTTGTGATTTAAACAGGATTACCCAAGAATGTATGTGCATTGCCATTCTGAGTGCACATCTAAGTCTCAAGCAGAAGGAAATATGTTTCTTTTACCTTCTTTTTTCCATCTAGTTCCTCCTCAGCCCAAACCTATGTAAGATGGATTTGACGTTTGCTGTAGCAATAATGGAAGGTTTTTTCCCTGAGCTGATTTTTATCCTGGGCTGAATTGATTTGATTCTAAACTTCTTCCTGGTAACATTTTAAACTCACAATGTAAAAATAAAAAGAGACAAACAAAATCCCTTCATCTGTGATAAATATCCTAGGTCTGTTAGCCAGAATTTATTGCAGACTTTCAGACAGAATATAGATATAGTCTGGAGTTTTGGTGAAAATACATTTCAGAAAATACCCAAACCTGAAGACTAAAATCTTCAGCACATGGATTATCTTCTGCAATCACTTTGAAACTAGAAACATCTTTGCTAAGTGTTACTGTCTTGGTGTGGTCTGTTTTTGGTTTTTTGTTTGGTTTTTTACTTTCATGCACTTCTGTTTATCTCAATCAACACATGTCCTATAAAAAAGATATCCTGTGGGCCTGCGTGGATCTACTTTTCCCATCTAATTGTGAAGGATATCTAAGGGCAAAATTTAAAATTTCTGCACAGATCTTGAAACAACAAGTAGATCAGAGTCAAAATTTTAATATTTAAACAAGCAAACCAACAGTGTACCACAAGCAACAACTGAAACAAGGCAGAAATAAAAATATTCCCCCAAAAGCAGCAGAGGACTGTACACGAGTAGGTGTCAATGCTGGCACCAAAACTGCTGCTTCAGGGCAGGGTCTGAGGATTTGTAAAGCTGTTAACTACATCTTGCACACTGCTACTCTTGCAGCCTCAAACTGTAGAGAAAGGAAATATAGAAAAAAACATATAGAAGTAAATATAGTGTCATGAGCCCAACTTGTTGGTATTAAATATCACACAAGTAGAAGTATAGACAGTATAGTAAAGAAAGCCCTGAAAACCCAAACAAAAAATAATCTCTCTAGTTTCAGGAAATAAATAATAATAATAACAAAAAAAGGTAGTTTTCCTCAAAGCTCTGGATAACAAAGTACTTCTAACATATTGGTACTGCTATTGCTATTGCTGTTATGATAAACACCCATAAGGCACACAAAATATTCCCTTTCTGTCAGTACAGGTTTGGCTGCAGATATGTTTTTGTTTTTCAGGACCTGTGTAATCAAGAGAGAATTTGCATTCTGTCTTTGGGCAGCTGATACCATTACAAGCTAAACTCTGCATCCTACTGAACTGGGCAAACCTGAAAAATATGCTTAATAGGCATGGTTCAGTCTAACTGGTTTTGATCCACAAAAGGGGATTTTCACCTCCTGGACTAGAGGAGATACTTTCACTCACATGCCTCTTTATTCTTGCTGGGATTATAATAAAAAACCTTGGTCCAAAACTAGTGAGAAAATAAACAATTCTCTTTGTGAAGTTATGGAAGGTTTTCCTCCCTGTTCTTGTGGAACCATGAGATTTATCCATATGATAGAAGTGGCTGAATGCAATGGTCCATATCATTCCTTCTGAGTCCCACCTGCAATCCTGTGCACCTCAGCTTGTCAGAGCTGCTTCCACAGTAGAGGGAATTTTCAGAACAGCAATTGTAAAGCAGAGGGTTTCAGCACTACATTTCAGGCAAAGTAAACAGCTGGGGCTGCTCTTGCTGTTGCAAGCTAGAAGAGAAGAGCATTTAAAATGTTTTTTGTTTGCTTGTTTGTTTTTGTTTTGTTTTGTTTTCAGGTAAGCTCTAAAATATGTCTATTTTCTGAGATCAAAATAAATTTATAATCCGTAAATCAGAGAAAAATTAAAAATTTAGTCTTTGGAGTATGAAAGGCAAAATTGAAGCATCCCACAGCTTTCTCTGGAGGGCTGAGTTAAATGGATAGGATCTCCATCTAGAGGCACAGATAAGCAGCTGCCACATAAAACAGTCATTTCCAGCAGTAAAATGGCTTAAATATATTTTAAAAACTTACTTCTCAGGCAGAGGAGACCCACATTTTACTGCAAATTAAATTTTATTGTAATAAACGAGCACAGATATAATTTGATGAAAACCTGAAACCATTACAGGTAAATATTCCTGGAGCAAGCAGTCTGGGTGAAGAGGTATATGACCTGGGAAAAGCTCAGTCAGTAAGAGCCTGGTTCTAATAATGCCACAGTTGTGGTTTCGATCCCTGGATGGGCCTTTTCACTTAAGAGCTGGACTTGGTGATCCTTGTGGGTCCTTCCAAATCAGAATATTCTGTGATCTAGTTAGACTGGGGCAATCAGTGCACAGAAACTTGTGCTTAGGCCTGAGTTTATTCACTGCAATCACCATCATTTAGACATCAATTTGGGCGTGATCCAACTCAAAGAGATTGAGTTGGCACATATATACAGAAGGCCATAAATGGGTTGGAAGAGTGGATGATGTCATCAAAAGGTAAAATCTAGGGATTTTATTTCATACCACATACACATTGCATCAGTGCACCTTTACTGATTTCTACTGGCAGAGGTTATAGGAGAGATAGAGAAGTGACAGACTCCATTAAGTCACTTCTCCTTTCCACCCTGTTGGAAAGGAGAGCTGTTTTTTTCCACCAATGTTGTTGGAAGTTGACTGAAGCTCCTCACACCCATCAGCCAAACAAGTTTTGTCTGACTATATCTTCTTCAAGCACTTTAGATAAAATAATCATGCTAGAACTCAGACTAAAATTATACCTATCCTCAGCCATGAGACAGCAGAAGAGTTAGTTAAGTTTCTGTTCAGACTGAACTGAAGATCATTAGGTCCAAGGATATATCTTCTGAAGGAAGAGTGTGGTGAGAGTTAAGTAGTCCTTCTGCAGCCCAGCACAAATTGGAGGCACATTACTTCATTATCCTCAGATCACCTATCACACCTGTGCTTTTACATACAGAAACCTTATGAGAGATACTCAAAGTCCCTGAGTGACAAGTGTGAAGCTGGTGAAAGAGGAAAGGGATCAGAAGAACCAACTCAGAATTTAATCTTACGCGAAGCTAATGCATAAGAGGAATGTATTTCTTTCTTTTAAAAAAAAGAAAACATACAAACAAACCTAAAAAAAATCCCCACAAACCAAACCAACAACCAACCCCCCTTTGACAAAACAAAATAATAAAAAACAAAACCCAAACCTCAGTCTTTCTAGTCTTTCCTAGCTTATTTTTTCTTTTTTTCTTTTTATTTTTGCAAGAGCCTCTAGGAGTATTGCTCATGAAAATACCCCAGAGAACTGCAATACAGCACAGGGAGGGTCTCTCAAGGAACCATGGATTAACCCCCTCAACCTGCCAGTGACTACAGAAATGATTCTGTGATATTTCAGTGAATGTCTGCAAATCCCTCCAAGTCATAGAAGTCCTTTTGGGATCATGAATAAATCCATGGAGACTCTCACTCTGCTCCTCAGACAGAGTCAGAGTAGGGCTTCTGATGGGAATATTAACATATGAGAGCCCAAAGAGACTCTTACTAAGAAGCTAAAGAAAATCTTTCCTTTTCCCTAGGTTGTAAATGGTGTAAGTACCTGGCTTTTGCATGGGATTTTCTTATTCTTTCACTAAGATCTATCAGATAATCCTCAAATCTGCTTTGGAAAGTGCCTTATTTCTTTATGCAGCAAATGCTTTTAGAATTCTTTTAAACACCATCATGGTCAGTCTTACATGAAATTCTCAAGAGCTTGAAAATGTAGTCTGTTCTTCTGTGTCTATAAATTCTGGGGATTTCTACACATCTTCCATTTTACTTAACAGCTTACCTGAGATGTAAATCAGAGGCACAGAGAAGAATGCTGACTCAGATATAACAGGGAATGGCTCAAATTCTTTGCAAGTATTTAAGCGTATATTGAAGTTCAAACTTGTTTCTGAGAGGGAAACTAAATCTTGTTTATGCCTGTATTACTGTAGACTGCATTTGAAGCAGTGATAGTGAAATACTGAAGGAAGTTAATTAGGTTCTTACCTTACCAGAAAGCAGTGATATCTAAATTTCCAAAGCAGAATCTATATTTCCAAGCTCATTCTGCAGTCTGAGAAAAATTTGTGAAAGATGGAAAGAGAAGAAATGCCTAACAAAATACTTATATAAACATATAAGAATCTCAGATGAGGTGTTTTCTACAGCTAATTATAAATATGTTGATCACAACAATATGTTGATATGATTGTTTTCTGTGAGTCTGCACAAACATCACCCCTTTTGTGAACAGAGAGCCTCAAAGATTACATAGTCCTTGCCAAAGAAAGGAGAGATTTATTTAGCAGTTTTTCATAGCTCCTGCATTAGGATAGGTTCCCTAAGACTCTGACTGTGCTATGTTTCACTATATGACTCCTCCCAACTTTAATTACATAGACTATAGCTACAGACTAATTGCATTTTGACTCCATTACAGGTTTAAAAAAACTGTGTCTAAATCTGTCTCTGATGCATAGGTCCAGATATTGGTCATAACATGCTGCAGCTACTCTTAGCAAGGTAAAATACCTTAGCTTTGCATTCATTCAACATGCCTTTAAGAGAAGGCTCTGTTAAAAAATAATGTAATGTTTAGCAAGCTTAACTTAGTAACAGGAAACTGAGGGACTTGTCTCTGTCCATATACCTTCTGTAAAAATTATATTCATCCTCACTGGGCCAGGTAGACTAAAATTCATAAGCAAATACTCCCAAGCTCTCTGCACCTTTTGGTTTTTAAAGAGACATTGTAAAGTCTGTTTGCATCAAATTTTGACCATGCTTGAATATTGACAAAAATAAAATAATGGAAACATTTGAAATGTAGGGTTTAAGAAGGGATAAAATGGATTATTTGAATAAAAAAAATAAAAAAATAAAAGCCTGAGGGGCATTAACTAGCACAGAATGGAGAAGAGCATTACTGTGTGCAAAAATCTCACCAAAACAAATTCACCGTGTTACTTTATCAATGAAGCAAGTCTGTGTGATACAAAATTTCCACAGAGTGATGGTGATGAATATATTTGATGTCCCTTGCATGTTCTATTCTATGTCAAAGATGAGCTTTTAATTAAAAGAGAGAAAGAGGTTGATTTTGAAATTCAGAAACCGTGCCATTGTATTTTACCACATGGGAACCTCTTTCACATTGTGGCAGAAGCACCGTGTCAGCTTCAGCACAACTCTTGGTATAATGACTTGACCCACTGATGAAGTCAGGTCCTCCCCCAGTTGTGGTGTTCAGGATCTCAAACTCTTTTCATTAATGCCCTGAAATTCCACAGTTATGTTGTGCATTATTCTCTGCATTTCTTTGTCAGACTTATCTGTTACTGCCTGCAGGCTTCCTGTTTCTCAGGCCACCTTTCCACAGCAAACATGTCTGAGGACAAAAAAACTACTGACTAATATATTTCATTTTCTGAGGTATCACTTTACCCTATTCTTCTGCAGTGGTCCAGTTCTCTGAACTTAAATCCATCTTTACATAAGAACTCTTCAAATTGGGACTTTGTGGCACAGTAAACTTTAGGGGAAGTAAAATTAAATCTAGATAGGAATAGTACCTAGCAGTGTACCTAGGGAACAATCTCCTCCATCAATCTGCTGTGTCCCTGAAGTGTCATGTTGGAGATTAAATCCCTCCCACTGTGCCATGCAACAGCAGCAGAACCACTCAGCAGTGATTGCTGCATTGCAACGTGACTCCACACAGGACAAACTTATTTGAAGAGCACAAGAACATACCTAGAGAAAGGTATACAAGGATGTGTGGGGCAAGAGAAAATAATAAATGGAGTGAATGTGAGAGAGAACAATAGGAACAAGACTGAGGCATGAATAAAAAAGAAAATAAGTTGATTAGAAGAAAGCAAGAAATGGTGACTGCAAGAGAAACAGTTCTACAAGGGCATTCACATGGGCTCTTCAAATTATCACCTGTTTTCAGTCAAAATTTCTCACTGACCCTAGTTTTAGCACCTGTCTGTGTTATCCTATGACAGCCCACAGAGAGAGAGGGTAACATTTCTTCAAGCCTTGCACTTTGAACAGTGTAGTGGAAATACTGAAGTGACTTGAAGTTCTGAAATCTCACCTCAACTGTCATTCAAACATTTAAGTTCTTAAATCCACTACCATTCACTGAGACTTGGCTTCCATGACCTCTTCAAAGAAGAAGACAGAAATTATTTTATCAAAAAGTTATAATTTTCTTTCATAATCAGAAATTCCAGTGTATTTAACATTTGTATAGAGATTATTTTTTTCCCAGTATATTGCCTTTGTTGTTTTGTTGGTATTATCTAGGTTGGGAAGAGGAACTTATTTCCTCCTTTTCCTATCATTATTTTCTTGTTCATTTCCACAGAAAAGCCATGATCTTGAGTATGGTATCATTAAGAATCATTTCCACAAAGGGTCTGCCTCTAAAAGGTATGGGATTCTGATGAACAAGTGGGATTCAGATTTTTACCTCCAGGTAAAGCTGGCAGCTATCAAAGGGTCCTGTGTTTCTGCCTGTCATCTCTGGGGACGAGTAAAATTTTCAAAAACACAATGGGAAGAAATTACATAAAGTGAACAGGAAAGGGGAACTGTGACTGAACTTGGGGAACCCCTGGGGTTGGGAATCCAGTGCATCACATCCCTTCTGTGCCAGCTGGACGTGCAGAGGCACAGCTCAGCACTGTGGAACAGCCACAGCTCTGCGTGAGGTGACATCTGGGGAATTCCAGTTGTTTTGGTGGTTTTTTCCCCCTGCTCCTGGTTGTATTACTAAGTGTTGCCTCAGCATCTCCTCTCCTCAACAGTGACACTTTCTCCTCAGATATTTGCAGCAGCTTTGCGTTAGGACCTGATCTGCAGCTTGGGACAGACCTATATCACTAATTCATCCATTTCCCCTTTCATTTTCCCTCGCTGCCTGACGCAACACCTGCTCTCCTTCAGCCTCTCTGATCCTTATCTTGTTCATCAGCCCTCTGCTGGTCACATCCATCTTCTGGCTATCATTTCTCCTTAGGCAACCACTGTGTTGCTTTTCTCATCCTCTGGTCTAACAGGTGTTGGTTTTGCTGGAACTGCTCAGCTCCCATTTCTCTGATCACTTTAAACTGCAGAAAGACCAAAGAGATTCCTGCAGTCTCAAATAAAACTCCTAAGGGCTGTAGCAGGATGCAGTGATGGCACACTATGGTTCTGCCATCCCACTGAAAACAAATATTGGGTGAGGTTGATCACTGATTCTAGCAGACAACCTGCAGAAATAGTGCTAACCTTCAACAGCTTTGCTCTGAAGTTTGAAAGAAATTGGCACTTCATTACTGACTGTTCCAAAATTGTGAGACGATTTTGCTCCCTCTTTAAGAATTATGAGTGGGGCAGAGTATCTTTTTACAATATCCTTTGTGTAGGAGAAGTGATGGAAACTGTTTTGGATGAGAGATGCAGAAGACTTGTGACTGCAGAATCAGGAGACATAACTAATCGTGAATACTGGAGTATTCTGTCAGTCTGCGTGTTAGACCATGAAGGAAACCAGACCCCTCCGAGCAGGGGTTGTTTTTAGGAAGCATCAAGAGCAATCTGTGATGAGGGTGGAGTGAAGGGGTGACCTCACAACAGCATTTGAACAATGAGAAAGTGTCCAGTAGTAACAGATCAGCAGCAAGCCTAAGGGGAATGGAAGATTGTAACATCACCTGATTTATGTACAACTAATAAAGTTATATTATAGACAGAATGTACGAGTATGCTCAATTATTTCCCCATAAACTGGTCACACCAGCACAGTCACTGCCCAGAGTGGAGGTGAGATAACCCAGGTGGGAAGGTGGAATGAAGATGGGAGGTGATTTTTCCCTGCTGAAATTTGTGGCTCTCTGCAGCTCTCGGACTCTGAGGCTGAACAAAGCCTCAGAAACACCACGCTGATTTGCAGATGTCGTGTTCCCCGGTCGTGCACGCCTTGTGGTACTCTTTGAGAAATCTGTGGCTCAAAGGCACATTTCACAGCTCCTTGCTCTCAGTCACTCATGCTATAAGCCTGACTTCAAAGGGACAGCTGAAAAGAAATGTTTGCAGGGAAAAAAAGGGAAAGAGAAAAAAAAAAAGAGAAAAAGATTGTCTGCTTGTCATTTTTTTCCTGTTCATGATATAACAGGCTTAAGATGTTTTGGTATAACTGCTTCTCAGTGGGTTATTTTTCCCTTCTTATTTTTACAAAAAAACCAAGAAAAAAACCTGGCAGTGAGGAAGAAAACAGCTGTGTGATCCCAATCCAGATGCTTTCATCTTAGAGTGGGCTTGTCAAAGAGCAGGCAAATGACTTTCCATTCTCTAAGCAAGCCCCTTGGGTGAAGCTGGACTGATGGCTAAGATAGCGACCCTCAGTTTTTCATTTTAGGCTTTTCAGCAGTAGCACATGCTAAAGCACTACTGCTCCCTGCTGCAGACCCAGTTACAGAGTAAACAGAAAAATCTCTGAGGGCTGGTGCTGCCCTTTCAGGCCGTAGGCAAATCACTTACATGACATTTTCTCGTTTCTTAGTGGGAATGAGGTTCTGTTCTAAATTCAATACTTTTTAAGGCTTTAAACATATTATCTATGAAATCAATGTTCTCCACATATATAAAGTCCTGAATGTCTCTAATGAAATTTCTAAAGTGATTTTTTGCTTTGGGTTTGTTATTTGGTTTTTTCTTAGTATGTATAAAACTATATTAAAGTAGGATTAGATTTTTTTTAAAAAAATTAATTAGTTTGGATCTGTTTGGTGACTTGTTCTTGATCTGCTGTGATATGCAATGCAATACCATTGAAGGTTCAAGGCACTGAACAACATCAAATAATTAAAATGCAGACATTCTTATTTGTAGAAAGACACAGTGGATGGATTTACAGTCAGGTTAATGTTTAACCTCTTAATCTTTCTAATGTTATGGTTGGAAAATGCCCTTTAAATTTAATTATCTGCTTCTGTACATTTTCTAGTTTGCAAATGAGCATTTAAAAATGTAATTTTTCTTTACAAAGATCTTTCATAGTTTTGTACCCACTCATAATGATTCTGGTCATCCTAAACAAGTGCTATCCAACCCACCACGCCACTGACATAGGCATTTATTCTCTTCCTGACTGTGTAAGGTTTGTAGATTTCAGACCTTGTAGTTTAAGGGTTAATGTGCTTTCTCTGTAACCCCACCAAAAGCATTTCAATGATAGCACATTTGCATTGCATCACCTTTGCAGAGAGGATCAAGCATCCAAAAGATGGCATTCAACAATGTAAATTATATCTGGAAAGAATTAAAATGTCTTTTCTATCTACTCCTGCTGGATCTTGTGATTTACTAAATTCATCCCAAACCTCTGCACAGTCTGTTTATAATTGAACATAAGAACACAGTTCATAGCTATTTTCAAATACAGGTATGGCAGAGAGATTAAGAGAGCTGAACTCTTACACTTTGTCTGGAGGAATCTCTTCTTGCTGCCTTGTAATCTTCACAGGTGAAGGGAGGTTGTTGCTCTACATCAGGCAGTGAGAATCTGATGCAATTTGTCTTGTGCTAAGCAGAGTCAATATGACTTCAACTCCCATGTAAATAGACATGGACTTCAAACACAAACAGAAATTTGTGTTTCAGGAATTTTAGCAAATTTGTCATGACAATGCAGATCATGACTTGTGATACTTCCTGTTCTTTCAATACTGGGAAACAGGGTAATGCCTGAGAGCAAGTAAATGGTGATGCAGCTTGTTCTGGTATCTGGCTGAGAACAAAAATAATGTAGTAAAAAGAGGAAAAAAATCATACATTTCCTAGCTTCTCTTTTTGAAACTTGTGATGTGCGTTGTTCTTCTGTGATCAGGAAGTGGTTCATTCTACCTTGGTTTGTTAGGGTCAGGATAAAAATAAAGCTTATGTGGTGAATTTGGATAAGTGAGCCAGAAGTTTTGGTTTTGCAAGGCTCTATGCAAGGAGTGACAAGAGACATTGAGATTTTTCTCTGTCCGAAAAGAAAGTTCATGGAGTTGTTTTGAGACCTATAAGCAAACTGACAAAGGTAGTACTATTAATGATGGTGAATGTCAAGAAGTTTAGTGCTTCACCTTAAATAATATTTTTTTTCCTTTTGTCCTCCTATTTTAATTCAAGAAGGTGTTATATGGCCAAGAGTGACTCTTGCAAACACAGAAGTTTGTTAGAGCTAATCACAAGTCAAGTAATCATTTTTTGTGCTTCCTTAAAATGGGTCGGTTCTGCAACAGATAGAAAATCAAAAGCTCATAATGCCTTCAATGCATAATCTCTCTTTCTCCTTGTGTGTATGAATAGAATACATACTTTACCTCTATTGTGGTTCTGTTATTTCTTATCTTTTTCATTCTTTACTAATATATTTCTCAAAATGGTTGATCTGCATTACATTTTTTCCTCTTTATCTGTTTGTCATGTCATTGTGTACACAAGGGGTTTGGACAGAACTGTGAAGATTAGACAAAGAAAAATAAATCCAATATGATCAAAATTATATGTGCTAATCAACAGTAACCAGTGTTTCTGTCAGAAGGTGCATACCCATTAAATGTACAGTGTGTTTATGTCTCTCCTCTATA